CATAAAAGCAATAGAGTACTTTTTCCGTGTTTACATAGCCTCATCTAAACGCTTGGGGGATTGGGAAAAACCTCGAAAGTTATGCAAACCCTCGACTGCGTCTTGCGTTTGCATAACGGTCCCGAATTGTCCCGACCCTTCTCGTGTTTAGATGAGGCTATGTAAACATGGAAAAAGAGCTCTATTGCTTAAATTTAGTTGTTTTGCTCCAAATCAAAACCTTTCAACGTTTTATCCTAGAGTAACAATAATATTCTTTTCTAGAGCAAAAAATAACTTTCAATCATCCGGGTTCAAAACTGGCTATTTTTTCCTCTGTTTTATCACTTTCAACTCTCTTCTTCTAGGTGTTTGGAAATGTAGTGAAAAATGGTCTCTCATGCTTGATAAATTACTTTTCATGTTTCCTATTCAAATTAGTCAAGAAGATATGAACCACAATCTACCAAAAATTAACTCAGTGGTAGCGTCACCGGGTCACTTGCTCTAAACTTTCGTATTTAGAGATATCTTTGAGAGCTCTGTAACTTATCGTAGGTAACAATCAAAGGAATTCAATGCCTTAATAATATATTTTTGTAAAATATCAAGAGAGACTTGAAAACACGAGCCTTGTGTAATCCATTTTCACCCTTTTCTTTATTAGTCATCCTCACTCCTTATGGGTACTGTTCTACAGAATCAAACCTTTTTATTGCAGGCTGCTTAGAGCCTGTTAGTTTCTCGAAAATCAGAAGGGAGTAAGGTGCGAGGGTTTAAGATGCCTGGAACAGGTTAGCGCGCACGAGAAGATATCGTCTCGCCCAAACCCCGTCGCGCGCATACCGCCTTTTTGCCTTCGCGTTCACGAGTTTATTCATCGAACCCTAAAAAAGGAAGAAAAGGCCGACGGCAAGCAAATCACACTAGTGACACTACTATGTAAAACCAAGAGAATATGATCTGATAATCTCTTGGTAAAACCGATAGCAATATCACTTCAAGCCAGCGAGTGTTCTGCACATACCATAGGAGCTTCAATTGCCTCATCTCCAATCTTCAACTGGTACGAACGAGGAGTATCGAAAGGACGGTGTACCTGAAACTCGTGTACTTGGCCACCAACAATATCCTGAGTCAGCAAAAAATAGCAAAGGTCGAGTGAGGTACACGTAGGAATACCTATAACCAAAAAATGTCAAAACCTGTATTCTCGCGCGCTCATCGTTCGAGATCATGGTTGATTTGACCATACATGCAGACCGTGACTGACATTAACACAACTT